CATACCCTGCAGAAAATCTGACTAGCTCAGAACTAGCGTAGAACTAGACCTTTTGCCGACATTACTTGTGCTAGCTCAATACCCAAGCAATGCTTTCAACTGTTCAGTTTTACACGGCGATGTCCTTGGCGATGGCAATTGTTGGCCAGTGCATTACTTTGCCATCAGTTTTTAACCGGTTCCGCTTCGGACAGTTTTGTTTTTTTTTTATAAAAAAAACGTATTTGAGATTCGATTTTTGGACATTTTTTTCGTTTTTTCATTTCTTTTACAGATTACATTTTTGTTACATATTTTATTAAAACAAAAAAATAAATTGTAAGCTGCACGCAACAATTTCAAATCATCAAATTTGAAAACTCACAACTGCCTCCACCGCTATTTGAACTCGCGACCAACGATGGTTGAGTCGGAGTCTTCTCGCTGAGCTACTTTCGTATTGTACGAGTAGTGAGCATTTGCACAATACCATCAAAAGTTTCAACTGTACCGCTCTGCATTCCTTTTGCACTAGTTCAGAGATAGTTCTGATATATATAGTTCGGAACTAGCGCTTTGTCAGACTGTCTCTAAATTTTACTGCATACATACCGTATGTATGCAAATAAATACTTACATACATATGTATGTGCTAATCCAAAAGTTAAACAGCTAAACAAATAAATAAATGTTTCAGATTACCGTAAATAGCGAGTGTTTTTTGTACTTTATTTATTTGCATACATATATTCGTTTATTTAGATTTTAGGTCTTTTGAGTACCACCCCTCTGCGAAATTAATTGTACAAACGTTTCTTTCAAAATATGAATAAAAAACTTCCCACTCTTTCAGACTATTGTACATAACCACGCTGGACGGACGCTTGTCAGCGCTTGATGTTGGTAAAGGCGGTAAATTACGTTGGAGTGTGCCAACCGGTCCGGGGCCACTCATATCGTCAAGCATTCACCGCCTTGAATTGACCAACAATGGACAATTTGTGCGTATGATACCATCACTGAGTGGTGGTATCTATAAATTTGATGGCGAATCTATTGATCCGATACCTATAACCACCGAAAATTTGCTCAGTTCTTCGGCGAAATTCTCTGATGATCTGGTCATTTCGGGTGGCAAGGAGACCCGCACCTATGGTGTGTCTTTGCGTACTGGACAACTATTATACGAATGTTCCATGCATGGTTGTATCAATTCGACAGATGTCAGGGAGGCGGCTTTGAATGATGAAGAAAATAGTAGAAATACTGTTGGTGGCCAGGAGAAAATGGAACATGATCCACTTATTGACGATGTAATGGTTGTGCGTCGTCAAACACAAACCGTACGAGCTGTAGAGTCACGTACCGGTGTTGAACGTTGGAATTTTAGCGTTGGTCAGCATGAATTGAATATTATTAAGCCAGCTGAGTGTCACGATCGTCCATATAGTGACATGGATATGGCTATGTTAGATCTGGATATAAGAGTGGTGGTGCCAGAGGGTGTTATCTGTGCGTTCAGCAAGTCAAATCCGAATGTAATGCTGTGGAAATATAAGGTATGTATCTATGTAGGTTAATAAGCAAGCAATCAAGAATTGACATTAGGGCAGGGGCTATCCGGTTAATATCTGTTCATTTGGTTATCCGGATATCCGGATTTTTCAATCAGATATTCGAACAGTTATCGGGATTGTCCGGATAGTCAAATAAAACGCTAGCCCTAGGTAACCTACAAGAGGAAGAAATAGGAGGGTTGTTCCCTTAAATTGCACAAATTCTAGAAAACTGCGAAAGTGTTGAAATTTCGTGTGAACTGTGAAAATTTCTACTAAAATCACTTCCGGCTTTAAAATCAAACGAGTTTATGGAGAATAAATCCAATCAATTTATTTTTCTTGAGGACTACTCAATTTTTTACTTAATTCTTTTAGTTCGATCATCCCATTGTGAGCGGTTGGAAACTTAGTGCCGATGATGAACTAGAAATGATAGATATGTTCAGCTCAGCTCAGTGGATGTGGGATCACGAAGAGAACATATTTGAACCACCCATAAATGCTATGAGTCCTGCAATTTATCTGGGCATGTACGATAAACAGTTGTATATTCAGGTATTTTATTTTTTTTCTCATATATTCGCCTACATATTATTTATAACCGTTGCTATATTTCAGGAATCTGTTAACTTGCGTCGCGAAATCGATGATCAGTCTAATTTATATTCTCATCTGACTACGGACTCAACAATGCCTATAATACCTTGGCGTCCCATACCAGCCAGCAGCAACTCATTGGCCATACTTAAGAATGATAAAGCCATAACAGATGGAAGCAAGCCAGATTCTTCGCATGAAGTTGCTGTGCTTCCGAACGCCAATAATGCAGTGCAGGGCAATGAGTTAGTACCCTATGAGGAGGAAAAATTTGCAGTGGCCGCAAAATCAGTGCTTAACGGCTCGGAGTTTGTAAATGGAAATGGGTTCTATTTATATGCGCGTGAAGATTCGAAAATAGAAGATGAAAATGCGCATTGTGAACCCGATGGGGAAGAGAATGAGGAGGATGGAGAGGATGACGAGGAAGATTTAGGAAACAGTGGTGATGGTGATGCAGTTGGCACAGGTGCAAATCGTACTAATCGCACAGTAAGCGATGATTTGGGCTTTAGCCTAGACGATATCGATGCACCAGTCAAGGTAGTGATACTATCCCTGTGGTTCTGGTGGAAGGAAGTGGTAGTGATTGCATTGACCACGGCAGTGTTGGTCAATCTATTTATAGGGCAACGTCAGCGACAAGAGGTATTGGTGATTGAACGTCATGTGCCGGTGCCAACCGCCTATGAGGCCACCGAACAGTCAACAGTCGCGCTATTGGGGCCCACAAATGTTGCGGTAAATGGCAATGCTAATGGATCCGTCAACGTCCATCGTTCACTTTCGGAGTCTACCTCCTGCTCGGGTGATAATTTCATTTCGCGATTTCAGAGTGACTTCGATTTGATGCGCTGCCTAGGACGAGGTGGCTTTGGTGTTGTCTTCGAGGCGAAGAACAAATTAGATGATTGCAAATACGCTGTGAAGCGTATTACATTGCCCAATAAGAAAGAGTCGCGTGATCGTGTAATGCGAGAAGTGAAAACCTTAGCCAACTGCGAACACCAGAATATTGTGCGCTACTTTCAGGTCAGTTTATAGCGCATTTATTATATATATTTCTGACAGTTAATACAAACTGATCTTTTGCTCTGCAGGCTTGGGTCGAGACACCACCACCAGGCTGGCAAGAGGAGGAGGATAGTAAGTGGTTAGCGCACGAAATGTCGATGTCCATACAAATTGAAACGCCCGATGGCACAACACTGCCCTCATTCGATAATGTGCCATCGGCTCAAATCCCACCGAGACGTCAGCTGCAGGTTGAGCGTAAACGTCAACTACTCTCTTGGATGTCAAGCTTGAATAATACTGATTGTGGATCTGATAAAGAGCACAACAACTGCATTGACGAAGATGACGATGACGATTCGTGTATTGTATTCCGCTCAGAGTCACAGTCGCTGGCGTTGAAGGGAAGAGACGACAGTGAAAGTGACAGCGAAATCTTAGTTGGAAGCAAAAATTGCATTGCCAAGAGAGACCAGCAAGAAAACGGCAATAGGGCGCAAACAAATGCCATTTCAATTGACATTCATTCCAATTCGTTTGACTTGAGGTTGCCTAAGAACGGCAAGAATATCGATTACACACAACTGTCCGATTCCTTTCAGATTGAATTTGTGCGCTCCGCTAACGGCGACGAATCAAACGGTGATAGTGGCTGCGATGGCCAAGCAAATGGCGATGTATGGACTTCCAGAGATGCAGACCGTTCGTTTAATGGTAACAATTACAAAGCGAGCTCCAAGTCCAAACAACGCCCCAATTCCTTAGAGCTCGGCAACATTTCCGTAAATATAGACAACAACAATAGTTGCAAGGCATTAATGCCAGCCGTCGCAGTGCTGTCCACACCGAAGCCACAGCAAAACAAAGTATACCTGTACATACAAATGCAACTTTGTCGCAAAGAGAGCTTGCGCGACTGGTTGCGCGAAAATCGCTGTGAGTCGCGCCAAAGTCAAATCGCCAGTATTTTCCATCAAATCGTCGATGCAGTCGACTATGTGCATTTGAAGGGACTTATACATCGCGACCTTAAACCCAGCAACATTTTCTTCTCCCAAGATGGCCAAATCAAAATCGGTGACTTCGGTCTCGTCACCGACATGTCCGACATACCGAATATGGTGACAAAGTGTGGCGATACCACTGGGCTACCTTCATGTGCGCGCCATACGCAACAGGTTGGCACACACCTGTACATGTCGCCAGAGCAGCTGCGTGGCCAGCACTATGATTTCAAAGTGGATATCTACTCGCTTGGCCTGATCTTCTTTGAGTTGCTTGTGTTCTTTGGCACCGAAATGGAACGTATTAAAACTCTGCGCAATCTCAGAGATGGCAGCTATCCACAAGAGTTTCCGCTGGCTTTCCCCAAAGAACACGAGCTGCTTAAGTTGATGTTGTCCAAGTTACCCGCCGAACGGCCAGCGACGGCAGAGCTTAAACTGAAGTTGCTCGACATACTTAAGTGGCCTGATTTTACAGTGGGCGATGGTGATCCTGTGTCGTTGGTGGCAGCGGCTGCTCGTCGTTATAGCCGAAGTCGAACATTTAGCACTAGTGGTGCGTGAAGACTATATAAGGAACACATTTTATTTTTTACTTTAATCGAAGATGTCATACATATTTTGATTGTCCGTCTAGTTAGTTAGTTTTTAAGTTAATGTAATCATTAGTTATACGAATAATACTATTGCGAAATACATAAGGATTTAGAAAACTCGGAAAACAACCTTAATGAAATTGAT